AGCCATGGGTTTGGACGGAGCATTGTCAAAAGGCATTTGAATGCCTTAAGGCAGCTGTAACAGAGGAGCCAGTCTTGGCATTACCTGACTTTGCCAAGACTTTTGAGCTGCACACAGATGCCTCAGACTTTGCCATTAAGGGTGTCATGATGCAGGATAAGCATCTCATAGCATTTGAGAGCCGCAAGTTAAATGAGACGGAGCAGCGTTACACGATACAAGAGAAGGAAATGACTGCCATTGTGCATTGCCTTCGTACATGGAGACATTATCTGCTCGGGTCAAGGTTCGTGGTCAAGACTGATAATGTGGCTACTAGCTACTTTTAGACACAGAAGAAACTCACACCAAAGCAGGCTAGGTGGAAGGATTTCTTAGCCGAGTTTGATTATGCGCTGGAGTATAAGTCGGGAAAAGGTAATGTTGTAACTGATGCCTTGAGCCGGAAAGTCGAGCTTGCTGCAATCACTTCAGCGAGATGGGACATTCGGGAGGCTATAAAAGAAGGCATGCAACATGATCCAGCAGCCAGACAGCTTATCGAGTTAGCTAACAAAGGCAAGACAAGACGGTTTTGGATAGAAGACGGCCTACTACTTACCACAGGTCGGCGGGTCTACATTCCTAAGTTTGGAGACATTAGACGACGGATCATAAGGGAGAGTCATGACACAATGTGGGCTGGTCATCCAGGTCAACGTCGCACTAGGGCCTTGGTTGAGTCAGTCTACTATTGGCCACGCATGCGAGATGACATAGAGTGTTATGTGCAGACTTGTCTTGTCTGTCAACAGGACAAGGTTGAACAACAACAACCTGGAGGACTTTTGGAGACACTACCAGTTGCAGAGCGTCCATGGGAGAGCGTGACTATGGACTTTATCACTTGCCTACTGAAGTCTGATGGTTATGGTACTATTATAGTGGTCGTGGATAGATTTTCCAAGTATGCCACCTTCATGCCTGCCTCACCGGGTTGCACCGCTAAGGAAGCCGCCAAGCTATTCTTTAAGAACGTGGTAAAGTATTGGGGCTTACCAAGGCATATCATCAGTGCTCGAGACCCCCGCTTCACTGGGAACTTTTGGAGAGAGTTGTTCGACATACTTGGCACGGAACTGCACTTTTCTACTGGTTTCCACCCACAGACAGATGGACAAACGGAACGAGTCAATGCCTTACTAGAATGCTACTTGAAGCATTATGTAAGTGCGCATCAGAAAGATTGGGCAAAGCTCCTAGACATCGCCCAATTCTCTTATAACTTGCAGCGGAGTGAGTCCACTGGGCGGACACCATTTGAGCTAGCCACAGGCCAACAACCACAAACTCCACATTTATTACCAGCCGCATTCGAGGGAAAGAGTTTGGAAATTTATCATATGGCTAAAGGATGGGAGGAGCAGCTCGACACTGCTAAGTCCTACTTGGATAAGGCAGCTAAGAAGATGAAGAAGTTTGCGGACCGTAAGCGGCGTCCCACATACTATGGAGTTGGGGACATGGTCATGGTGAAGTTTAACCCAAGACAGTTCAAGGCACTACGGGGCATGCATCAGAATTTGATTCGCAAGTATGAGGGGCCATTTAAGATCGTCGCCAAGGTAGGCAAGATCTCATACAAGCTTGACATGCCATCGTATCTTAAGATCTACCCTGTCTTCCATGCCAGCATGCTTAAGCCATATCATGAAGATAAGGATGATCCGAGTAGGGGCCAATCAAGTCGGGCGCCAATGACTATCACCGCCTCGCATGATCGGGAGATTGAGGCTATCATAGATTACCAGGCCAGGCGAAAACAAGGGCAAAAAGCCACCACTATGTTCCTCGTCCATTGGAAAGGGCAATCACCGGAGGAGGCCACGTGGGAACGATATGAAGACTTGTGGCAATTGAAAGATAAAATCCGAGAGTTTATGCAGCAGCATTGCGCCACGGTCGTCGGTCGTCGCAATATTGGGTGGGGGAGAGTGTGATGACCCGCCATGTCATCATGCCACATAAGCGCCATTTGGCATATATTAATGTCATGTGGAAGCTTACATAAGAAGAAGGCTAGCATTTGTGAGAAGACTCTAGAGACGTATGGACATTTCCTTAGGAAGAACCTAGATCCTTATGGATTTGTTAGGAAAGTCCTTGGAATCTTCTAGGCTTGTAGAGAATTCTAGAAAAAACCCTTATCTTGTAAATATCAAGAACTTGTGTAGTAATTAATATTTACACACTAGCCCCTAGGAGACTAGTATATAAAGGGGGTCATTCATTTGTAATTCACCAAGCAAACAATTCAAGTTCTCTCTAATACAAAGCTTTCTTTAACAATTCTCTTGTATTCTTTCTTCCATTCTCTTAGCGATCTTGAATGTAGTAAGGCTGACTTGACATAGCAAGAGCGTGAGCAAGTTGTGCAAGATCGTAAGCGAGTTGTCAAGTGCCGCACGTGTACTTAGTTAACAACTAAGGACGTGCAAGGGATTATTTTGTTTGGCTAATGGTGGAGTCAACTTGCCAAAGTGCTCTTGTGAAGTATAGTTGGATAAGGAGAAAAAAAAAAGTTGAAGGGAGAGTACCTAACTCTGAAAACCTTCAGTAGCTTAGTTTGTCACTGGAGCCTCCATATATTAGTAATAATACACAATATTTTGTCCTTGCCTGATTAATAAAGAATTGTTTAGAAATTAGCTCAGATTCCACTCTCCAAATTCATCTTCCAAGTTCCAACAATAATGTGATTAAGTCATTTTCCTCCAACAATATAACTAAGTCATCCTCATGGTTGATAACATTGGACTGTCCAAATTTGCATGTCATTTGATCAAATATGAAGAATTTTACTGTAGAATATAATTAATTGTATAATGATGAATGTCCAATAACAATTACATTATCCATGTTAGGGCTGTGCACGGATCGGATCGGATTTAGCACATTTCGGATTCGAATTTCGGATTTTAGAAAATGCAATCTGAATCCGATCCGAATTATATCGGATTGGATTGGATTTTAAAGTTTGGATTGGATCGGATTTCAGATCGTATTATTATGCCTCAAAGTTAAACTAATGTGTATATTTTCTTTGTAAAAGAGGCAATACATTAAGAAAAATTCATGTTTATGCAATTATGAGAGTACTATGGTGCCAATATAGCTAAATCTAGCAATTGTAAGGGTAATAACTTGGAGGTTGATGTAAAGGAAGTACTGACTATCTGAAATTAAAGTGTAGTAATATACATGCCTTAATAATTTCGGATTTCGGATCGGATCGGATTAAAATATACCAATCCGAATCCGATCCGAAATCCGAAATTTTAAAAAACACAATCTGAAATCCGATGCAATCCGAAATCCAAAATTGAATGGATCGGTTCGGATTTCGGATATCTGATCTGAATGAACAGCCCTAATCCATGTAGCTTTATGTTAGACTCTAATTAAACAGATGAGAGAAAAGCTTTCTATTATAAAATAAAAACAATGCAGTAAAATATAAATAAGAAGAGATAGAAAGAAGGAAGAAGTGTTTTCTTCTTTGTATCTTTCCATTGCAATTACATAGTTTTTTATAAGTATAAAAAGTAAAGATGATGGACATAAAGTAGGATATTTAATCTTTAAGTTATTCACAACATGTCACGAGACTTTCAAGTATTTCAGCAGATAATGAGTTTTATCGTCACGCAGCTTTAAAGTACTTCAGAAAATAATGAGAACTGAACCAAAGTAGATGCAGCGCTACTGTTAGTTCATAAGACTGCAGATCCCCCATTCTTCACTAAAGCATTTGCATTCAAAGCCATACCGGTAGTGGACACCCAGCTCTTTTTTAATTGTCCCTCCCATCAAGTTATTATTAATATATACTTTACTTTTTTTTCTTTTTAATCTATTCTTTTTTATTTACTTCTATTATTTTGGCTACCATAGGTCAGCTGCTTGCGCACATGTCATCCTAATAATGAAATAAACACTTCTCTTCTTTTCCAAATTAAGAATATCAAATTTAGGTTAAATGTCACTCTTAAAGATGGGCATACTTAACATAATGGAGTAATAAATTTATAACACCTACAGTGGAAAAGGAATGTTGATTTCCTTATATCTTTATAACAAATTAAAACTTCCAACGAGATAAAGAAAAAGAAAAAAAGCACTACTCTTTATAAATGCTTGTCACTAACTCATGTAAAAGTCTTGTAAAAATAGCACGAGCTATCCAGTTTTTGGACTGGTCATTTAAAAATAGTCAGCGTTTGCAAAATTGAAAAATAGCCATTATTTTACTGCAACACGAAAAGTTCCAGCATATTATACTGGAGATCGGTGCACCTGTGTATGTACTTCTAGCATATTATGCTGGAACTCCAACACGCAGAAAGTTCGAGTATAATATACTGGAGATGGTGCACAGGTGCTCCAATCTCCAGTATATTATGCTATACCGGTATATTATACTGGAACTCCAATATAATATACTGGAGTTCCAGTATACTTATGCTGGAACTCCAGTATAATATACTGGAGTATTTTTCCGGATATTGAACAGTGTTTTTGTTCAGATTTAACTTTACATCAAAAGTGGCTAAATTTCGATTACTTTTGAAACTGTGGCTATTTTTGAATGATCACTTATAAATCTAACTATTTTTGAATTTCTTCCAAAAAATTTCAATAGAAGTTGATTATGAAATTGAAGAGATAGGTAACTGCTCAGTACTTCACAGCTTCAGACGATGGGGTAAGATAAGCTATAACTAACTATTCTGTCAAAATTCTCTCTTATTTAAATTAGAAAAATGTACACCTGAAATGAGCGTAACTTCTAAAACTTTTGGGAATAACCCACCAATCGTCCCTTTTGTCAATAATGGTTTTCTGCACTTGTTCCTTTGGTGGCTCGAACTCTTGGTTTGAAGTTGAGCTCTCTACAATCACCATGTTTTGTCTCATGGCATTTCATTTTAAAATTAATGCATAATTGTAAAGGAGACACCTTATCAGAAGCTATCCGTGCATCGAATTTTATTTGAAATAAAGGTTCTATTGATCTTACAACTTTATCTCTTTACACAAAAGCATTACGTTCTCATACATACATGATTCTATTGTTTCTTAATTCTAACTGAAAGATATATCCGGTACATATCAACAACATTCTACAACGATGTAGGAGTGAAAGTTACAGATCCAATGTACATATGGTACCTTTGCTTACTCATTCACTTGAAACTTTGATCTATGTAACTCAACGATGCTGTGCCTGAGCATAAGCAACTCAAACAGTAAGAAGAAGCAGGTAAAGCTCATCCCCATTCCAGCTGTTGCTATTTGAATAGCTGATTAGCCTACATAGCCATTGTCACCGGAAAAAGCTTGTCGAGAAAGGTATAGACACCCCCACCTAATAGTAGTGCACCACTGCAAAATAAATAATTAAGCAGGCAAATATCTGGATGAGTACTAGAAGAATGTGATTAAGATGGTATTAGAGAAGAAGTGACTGAAGTAGAAGAAATTTAAGGTATCTCTGACTAATTGTGCCATAAATTTCACAGACAATTTACCTGACTGGATTGATCCATGCTGAGAACTTGCGGAATGAAAGTATACTCTGCAAATGACATGCAGTTGGTCAGAACTTAAATGGTGAAAAAAATTTATAATGAACGTATACAAGCAGCAACTCAAGCAGGCAAGAGTAATCGTAAGAAACATGAGAGAAGACAAGGAAGCAGGATGAGTGGCATTGAAGTGGAGAAAGAATTCTTAAAATAATTGTCTTAAAATGCAGAGCTCTATAACGTGGATGCTGCAACATGAGGTCCTCAGACCATCTAAAGGTTGCTGGCCACAATAACAATTATTTGGACCATATGGATTACCTGTAATGCTCCAGCAAAAGAGGCAGCAAGAAGTAAGGGAGTAACGTAGCCCGTTGTGTATGTCAACAGCAAGCTGCCCCCAATGATTGGATCCTGTTATAGAAGATTATTAAGAAGATAATTATATTCAACCTAGTTATAACCAAAATAAATAACATGCAAAGACAGTGTGCAATTCTAATGGTCAATGCCAGGTGCTGAACTATTTGATTCACGGCATGCATTATAAAATACTTCTATATGAAGGAAATCCTGATGACATAACCCTAATTCTCTCAAAGATTAAGTAAAATGACCAAGATGGTGGTCATATGCTTGTGCTTTTTGTGTCACTTTTTTTGGAAGGCCCCTTTCCAAAGAAAGAAAAGAAGCAAACATAAGATAACCATCATTTCATCATCCTGAGAACCAAAATATCAAAATTTGTGGTACCCGAGAAGTAGCAACATAGCCGAGCAAGGTTGCTAGTACTGGTGTACTGCATGGTGACGCAGCTAAGGCAAATGTAAGACCAGCCAAATAAGCTTGAACACCTAGACAATCAAATGTATAAAATGTCAAACTATAATATCTAGCTTACCGCAAGCATTCCCATACCCAAACTAACCGAGATTATGTCCTAACAAGAATGAAGGGTAAAAGTTATAGCTAATTACTTGAAGGAAAGCTAGCAGCTGCTGATCGAGGATCAAAGTTGTCGAAAAATGAGGGAAGTTGTAACTCTATTACCTGCAGCATTGTTATTGAAGGAAGACCATAAGTAAATGCATATAAGCACGGAACCAATAACGCAAACTGAAAACTAGCAAATAATGCTTCTTTTGTACCATTTATAGTTGTTTTCATAAAGCTCGATGATAAATTCATTCAGTTCTTGCTACTAGTTAAACGTTAAAACATAAAACATGCTAATATAAAGCTCCCCAAATTCTAGTGAATTGACTTGCCCTTTTGATTATGGAGGGAAGAGTATGGAACATGTTAATTGCTGGTACGAAACTTAATTATGAACTTCAGTAGGAACATATACGTCATAAGGGTCAGAAAGATAGTCTCAAGACTAGAACTAATTCCAAACCAATCACTAATATGACTTGTACCTATATTCGCATGTTTTGCGTCTAAGAAACCTCTAAACAGTAAAAGCATAATTTTGACTAAATCCAAAAACACAATTGTAATTAGATCTGATGGTTTTACCCACAATTTTCACTATCCAGGTACCAAAACTATCAGTCATCATTTTATTCAAACGCCAACACATATCACACTGTCTTTTCCTATACAAGTTCTCATTACAATAAAGGTGATGTTGCAACATCTGGTATTGCATAAGAACATCAACTTTTTTTTAACTGATACTTATTTATGCAAGCAAAATTATTAATATATTAAACGAATAAGCCCTAATACCTTAATAGGACAAAGCTCTGAAGATCAGGCAAAACAAAAATGCAACCATGGTTTCAATAAAGATTAAAAACAATAGTACTCAACTGATACTTAAAATAAAAAAGGATATTACCACACTATTTAAACATTCAACATATGTTGTTACCTCTAACAGGTTTAAACCCATAACAATAGCTAAAAAAGAAGCAGCCACAGGCAGCCCTTGTCCTATTTGCCCATATGCCTTTCCAGCAAATGCAGCTGCAATGCCCAGCAGTGCTAGCGTGGTTGCCAATCCCAGGGCAAATGCAATTGAATCCCCAACAACCTGTCCAAGAGGATAGCCCAAGTGAAAGCAATGAAATTTGAACTAGCACTATGCCCTAGTAGGTTGTCAGGTGGAAAATGCAGAACCCTGCAAAGCTCTGTTCATAGAAACTGCAATTTCTACTTTCTAGTACTCCTTTCACATTAAATATCGCACCTTTTGGTTGGATGTGGAGTATAAAAATTAAGAGATTAGTTTGATTTCTAGTAGATTGCAAACTTAGTTTGATGGAAAAAACGTCACATCGAAGTTCAAACTTGATCAATATTTTTATGATTTTTATCAGTAAAGTGTAACTTCTATGGATGACAACCAGCAAAAAGCAAATGATGTGAGAGAGTTACAGCCAAACGTAACGTGCCATTACTAAGTTCTGTACTGAGCTAAGGAAGTCAACCATGGCATCAGAGTTCGTGAAATTTACAGTAGCCATGTTACACCAAATACTACGCAAATAAAAACAACGTTAAATTTGATTAGTTAAGAGAATTTGAAATCTAGAATCATTTCGAACTTTTTCTATACGCCCCAAAGTGGAAATTGAGACAGATGATTATCATAGAGAAAATCATACACATGCCGTCCATCAAGACATATAAGCCAAATAACATTCACCCCTTAAAGGATTTACATGTAAACCTGGAAAATATTTTCTATATGGTATGTAATTTATGTTCCTTCATTGCAAATAATGCACATCAAAAATGGAAAGGACAAAGAACAAACAGTAAAAAATTAAATATAAAGTTAAGGTTCTTACCGCTACTCTGCTTTTCCCAGAGCCAAAAGCCCCTAGACCATTTTCAAAGAACAAAAAATAGTATCAGAGAGGAGAGACCTTATGATTCATATTTAGAGAGCAAAGATTCAACTTCCAAGTCCTACCAATATAACCAAGGGTCAGAGGCAGCACACTGAGTGTACAAGGGGAAAGACTAGTTACAAGCCCTGCGCCAAAAATAGTGGCCACACTGCAAAGAGAAAAGTCTAAGAATCAGAATTACAAAACGTTTGTAAATACATTTTATCAGTACCAGACGCAATTTAAATGATACAAGATTTAGACCTGGTGAAACTAAGAGCAGTCAACTGGCCCTGAACAGCTTCATTAGCTTGTTGACCAGCAGAATACAGAAGGCCACCAAAAATATCTCCAACGCTTCCATCAGCTAAAGTATAGACAGCACTAGAAAAATCCTGAAGCCAATGAAGAAAATGACAGTCCCCTTAGCATATGATCCAGTGAAGATTTACCGGTGTGTTATGTGACAATACATTCCACTAGCAAATGAATACCAGCTTATATTGCAAAAAACCACAGAAAAATGTCCAGCAAATGCAACTACGCATAAAAAAGATAAAACTCAATTGGGCCCACAGTACAGAGAACAAGTGGCTTTATTCATTTAGCTCGATCAGTGGGTCAAGTTGCAGTCCAAAGTTTATATAGTTCATCAGTTCCCTCAAATTGTTGAGGTTTGAACAAGGGTCTCATATCTTATGTAACCAGGCATCTAATTAATGTGTCATCATTAACACTGGTGTATAAAAGATTAAAATTTCCACATGTTATCGCCATAAAGATTGTTAAGTACAAATCTCCATTAAGCCAGAAAATAGACATACAAACTGCTGCAGAAAGTACAACAAATTTAGCTTCTCAGGAAAAAGTCTTCTATGAACTACTTTACTCTAAATTGTTAATGTTATTCCTGTCACTGTTATTTTCATAAAGAATAAGTAAACAGAACAGAGTACTAAGAAAAGAATCAATAGGTCAGAAAAAAAGACACACATCCACGTAATTAGTACATGGAACGTAAATTTGAGACTAGTGGGAACAGAAAAGAAGAAAGAAAAGGTAACATGGATCAAACAGATGTTGGATAGGTCATCTTATGTTATCATGTGCTATGATGGTTTTACAGAGCCCAATAGCCCAGGGATATATGCAACAGAAAACAAAGCACCCTCTTCCCCCTGGCTAGAAGAGACAACAAGCACCAAGTAACAAAGTAAGACACTTAAGGTTGACAAGGAAGAATCCTCACCATCATGTTTTCCATGGTCACAGCATCTGCAGCATGTGTTGCAACCAAATTTGCTGCTAAAATGTGAAGACAGAAATAATTAATGTTATCTTCTTGCAAAGCATGAAATAATTATGAAAATATGCACAAGCATTTACAAACAGAAAAGAAGAAGTCCAAACCATTGGAAAAGCCAATATAAAATGCAAGCTACAGTTACTCAATGACTTTAATACCGATGTCACAACTCAAGTCCACAAACTATCTGAAAAAAACACATGAAACAGCTCATATAATACATAATCAGTAAAGAAACAGAAATAATGATTCCTGCAACAGGGCTCAGCAAGTTACAGTAAAAAGGCATCAGCAGTTCTGAGTAAATCAGTATACTCAAGTGAGTCCAGCTTCCCTTAATGTCATTCAGATGCCCATGTAAGTGAGGGGATTTGATTTTGATGAAGAAAATCACTGGAACAAAATCACAGTATAAGAGTAATTTTAGGCTATAGGGGTGTTCATGGTTCGGTTTGGATCGGTTTTTCCCTAAAAAAACTGTTAGATAATGAATGTAGACATAATCTGAATGTAGATATAATCTTATGTAATATACATAGCTAGCATAATTATAGGGATTCACAGCAGACTTATAGGATTTCTTTTTTGATTCTTTCCATAGTTAAGGCTCTATGTACTTGTATATATACTTGTTATTTCTTGAATACAACACAAGAGAGATTTCTCTATTGTCTCTATACTTTATATGGTATCAGAGCAGGTCTACTGCTCGCCGGAGTTGAGTCGAATCCGCTGCCGGAAATTCCTTGGTCGGAAGCTAATCTGAGGTCTTTTTGACATTTCCAGTTGACTTGTGGTGGTTCTCTGATCATAGAACCACATTTTGGCAAAGAACAACCTCAGACCAAATCTTATTCTCACTTTGTTTGGTCAGGTTTGAGTTTGGTTTATTGGTTATTCGATTTCTTTAATTATGTGTTATTTTTCTTGGAGGTTGCCTGTGTGAGAAGCTTGCATCTTTATTTTTGACTCACTGTGGTGATCGATTAGTGACTTGATATTGTCTGTTGGGTCTTTCCTTAAACTTTGTTGTTCTCTAATTTTGTTTGAGTTGGGGACAAATTCGTTTGGTTCTCTAATTTGGTTGAGTGGATTATTAAAGTTGAATCATGTTTAATAGATTGTTAATTTCGTATCTACCTGGATCTGTTTGAGTATCTTTTAGCTTCGGGGACCTCTGTTAGTTTAATCAGTTTGTTATTGAAAGAAAAAAAATGATGGTAAAGAATAATAATGCAACAACTCCTAGTCCAACAATCTTGGTTTCGGATGAGTTTCTAAAATTCCTTCAACATCATAAATCAGTTAAGGAATCTTCTTCAGTTACTGCCTTTGCTGGGTCAGATAAAACATGTCTTATCACCTCTTCCAATAAATGGGTGATCGATTATGGTGCTACAAATCACATGACAGGTAATCCAAATATTTTTTCTAGCTATCGCTCACATAAAGCACTCTCTCCGGTTACTGTAGCTGATGGATCAACTTGTAGCAGTGTTAGATCTGGGACTGTTAAACAAACTTCCTCTATTACCCTGTCATCTGTATTAAGTCTACCAAACTTGGCCTATAACTTGATTTTTGTTAGTAAAATTACCAAAAACCTTAATTGTTGTGTTGCATTCTTTCCCGATCATTGTTTGTTTTTAGATCTTAAGACGATGCAGGTTATTGGTAAAGAATATATATCTGGTGATCTCTACATTCTTGATAACTGGGAGCCACGGTCTGTTGCATGCTCTAATATCGTGTCTCCTTTTGAAGCACATTGTCGACTTGGACATCCCTCTTTGCCTTTGTTAAAGAAGCTCCGTCCTCAGTTTCAGAATATTTCATCATTGGATTGTGAGTCATGTCGATTTCCAAAACACCATTGCATCTCGTTAAGTCCAAGGGTTAATAAGCGAGCTGAGTCAGCTTTTGAGTTGGTCCATTCTG